CTCAGATTGCGAGTCGAGTATCTTAACCACCTGGCCATGCCGGGCCTTTTATGAACTGTTTTCTTGTGTTTCAATACGTTATTAGTGGAATTTAAAATTACTACCAAACCAATGGTATAGTTTTTTGGTTACCTGGACAAAGCAGACGATCATCCGAGACCCCCCAGTAGCACAGCGGTATGTCTGCGGACTTACAACGTTAGAATCCGGGGTTCGATACCCGTGGTGGGCAGAGCACAGATAGCCCATTCTGTAGCTTTGTGTTTAATTACAAACAAAACGATGATCCGATCAAAAGTTCTAAATCGTCCTAAACTCACATGTTTGTTCACAGCCCTAATTGGATACCATGTTTGTGTACATGTGGTTATAAACAGACTTTCCAAAACCATCCATGTTAGATGTCAAATTTGACGGGTGTGTGTGTAATTGATATTGTTTTGTAACAGTCTTTCTTTCTCGTACCTATAAATTTACAGGCTTTGGTTATCCTTTAATTGTTTTGAAGAATCCACTAAGTGGCGGTTTCCATGTCGATGTATCTTTTGTTACTCGGCAACTCTTCTGTAGGTTTGTTTGTATGTAGTCCGGAACATAGTAGTTTTATTGAATTACCTTAGCATCAGGCTACAGATCTACACGTTGGTAAGAAATTCTTACTTCTAATAATATGTTTTTTTAGGTTAGAACAGTCTGAATTATTATGAGTGGAGAGAATTTCGTGCATTAAGATAAAATGGTTGCAACCTGTTCTTTAACCTCTGAAATTACATTGACTATTTCTTACCATTTTTTTTTTTTTGCTTATAAAATCTTCAAGCTTCTACTCAGGCTGTTTTATATATAAATACATAAAAGATTAATATCTTGGACTCAGTATTCTAATGCTTAAATAAGTATATGCATATAAATAAGTCTTCTTATTTTACTAAACAGATAGTGTCACTGTCATCTTTAGTAATCTTAAGCAAGCGAGTACTAAAACAGGGAAATAGTACATGGTAGATATGATATACTCTGAGGTAAAAAAGGTATACATCTTGTTGACCAGAAGGTGATTCACACACGCTGAACAAGGGTTTTTACACATTACACAGTAATAACCAGACGGACTTGTTTTCTATTATTTTCATACACTATTTTCTTTACGGAAAGCAAAAAAGTTATACAAGGCTTAAGGGGGTTTGCCGAAAGGAACGTATTTCATTGTGTATGTAATGTTTACTTATATCAATGGACAGGTAATAATTCCAAAGCTATAAACTGATGTTGCAATGTTTTGTTTTTCTTCCAGGTAATGAGATGACACAGTCATAAGACACCGTCTGATATCCAATTACTTACACAACTCTGATTCGTAGATATGTAGGAAAATTACATTAAAAACATCCCTCTTTTACAGACTGAGCTGAAAGTAATTACATAAAGAGCAACTAATTGAAACTATTCTTTAATAAGTTCAAATAAGCTTGAACAAATTATTTTTACAACACTAGTCGTATTTGCCCGTTATACGGAAAGCTTACGAATTATCCAAGCTTTAAAAGCACAAAGACGAATCCTTCATTAATATGAAATTATATTCCATATATTTCATTTATTCAGACAGTTGAATAAGTATCACTGCAGTAATTTATTCTTAATAATATAGTGTTGTTGCTTGACAATGAGTAAAATAATATTCTAATAAGTGGTAAAAAAAACCACAAACTTTGCGAATAATAATTTAGTAGCATAAATAGAACATTTTAAAAATTTTACTTATGTTAATTACCAATAAAGACAAACACAAGATATATCTAATTATTTAAAATTGAGAGAATGGGTCTTGTTATGCCGAAAAGAAACTAAGTTACTCATATATATCTCTATATGAAACATCTGTGAAAGATCCTTAACAAAACAGCATATATAACGTGATTTCAGTGGTACAAATCAAAATCTTTAAGCAAACTTTGTTCTTGTTTCGTGGGGGCCTTTATGGATGATTTTATTAATAGTAAGCCTTAAAATGTTCATGTTCGCAAAATCAGGCCAAAAAAAAAGGTTTACAGGTCTATAAGTAAACATCTGTTGCATTCAGAAGATTAAGGGCATGCCTATAGGAGTGACAAGTATAAATGTGAAACAGACAAACTTCAGATGGTATTATAAACCTAGAATTTGCACCTTTGTTCTTCTGAATTATAACTCATGATAGAAGTAACAGAACAATAAACATAGGAAAAAAAGTAATTAATCTGAAAATAGTAGAATTATTTTTAAAAAAATACCACAGTACTGACGTCTTCTGTAACAGGACATTGTTGACAAACATCCATACAGCTGGTGTATTACACTACAAAAGGTTTATCAAACTACCCAAACGATGGTTATTTATATAGCAAGACATTGTTAACCGTCATAACAGGACATTGTTGGCAAACATTCATACAGCTGGTGTATTACACTACAAAAGGTTTATCAAACTACCCAAACACTGGTTATTTATATAGCAAGACATTGTTAACCGTCATAACAGGACATTGTTGGCAAACATCCATACAGCTGGTGTATTACACTACAAAGGGTTTATCAAACTACCCAAACAATGGTTATTTATATAGCAAGACATTGTTAACCATCATAACAGGACATTGTTGGCAAACATCCATACAGCTGGTGAATTACACTACAAAAGGTTTAGCAAACTACCCAAACGATGGTTATTTATATAGCAAGACATTGTTAACCGTATAACAGTAAAACAGACTTACGGTTGTACTTAGAAGGAGGTAGAACCATGATCAAATATTGTTTTAAACAGAAAAATGTATCACTAAAACTCATCATCCAATCAAACGAAGTACTGACAATAGAATAGTTACTCAGTATAGTTTATTCATTAAGACGCACGAGAAATTTCAATAAATTAGACACTTCACCTTTTGCTCACCAAAACCAAAACACTTAAACCTTTGGAAATATGTGGTAAATAACCAACAAGCCAGGAAAACAATCAAAATACACAGAGATACCAATTCTGACGGACATCGAATATCATTGTTACGATAATGTGTGCTAGTATAAGTTGTGAGCATTATAGTTCTGGCAGATAACAATGTCTTGCTATATAAATAACCATTGTTTGGGTGGTTTGCTAAACCCTTTGTAGTGTAATTCACCAGCTGTATGGATGTTTGCCAACAATATCCTGTTATGATGAACGTAGTTAAAATCTGCTCAACGGAAATTGTAGCTATAATCTATCTACAACTGTAAGTCTCTTCTAATGTACGTATGAACGTAGTTAAAATCTGCTCAACGGAAATTGTAGCTATAATCTATCTACAACTGTAAGTCTCTTCTAATGTACGTATGAACGTAGTTAAAATCTGCTCAACGGAAATTGTAGCTATAATCTATCTACGACTGTAAGTCTCTTCTAATGTACGTATGAACGTAGTTAAAATCTGCTCAACGGAAATTATAGCTATAATCTATCTACAACTGTAAGTCTCTTCTAATGTACGTATGAACGTTGTTAAAATCTGCTCAACGGAAATTGTAGCTATAATCTATCTACAACTGTAAGTCTCTTCTAATGTACGTATGAACGTAGTTAAAATCTGCCCAGTTTAAGATGTAGCTTTAATCTGTTTATATGTTGACCTCCTTACCTCACTGGGTCAGTGATATGTTTAGAGAGCTACAATGCTAAAATTTGGGGTTCGATTCCCTACGGTGGACAGAGCTCAGATATCTCATTGTGTAGGTGCCTGATGATGACAAAACCTTGTCGAAACGTTGTGCATTTGCTGTTATGTTAAACTTATATTAAAGTTTTTCTTCATTACCCATTCAAGCCATCTCCAGCCATTAATAGTTTATACTAGAATTTTGTTTTTTAATTACTACTAGTTATTGCAATTAAGTGATGACATCGTAAACTGCCCAGAACCACACAAGAGTGGATTTAGGTTTAAACTGATGTTAGTGATAAAGTAGTTATAGAGTTATCTGGACTGAAACATGAAGAAGAAAGATGAACAATTTGGTGGGTTGGCATATTAGCAATATTTTCTTGCCTTGTTCTTGGGATTGTAACGTGACCATGCCTTAATTCATGATTTTTCTGAAACATTAATAATTTTTGCATGGTATTATTGTAATTTAGACTACAGAAAGTTAAATCTTAGTAGCTTCCATTTTTGAAAATTATTGGCTGTATCCATTTTTAAAGATGAGAATCATTCAGTGTTCTTAAGACCACGTTGGGTAGTTTTCTAAATGTAGGTTCATACTTGAACAAATAGAAGGCATAGAAACAGAAATGGTAAACTAACCAAAAATGTTAAAATTCGATTGGGAAAAATATATCTGAGTAACATGCCACCAAAAATTATAAAAATAAAATTTTATTATTTACAGTTTGAACACCTAGAGACATGACAGAAATGAATATTTGAACAGTTTTGGAATTTTTCTTTATAAAATAAACTAGGAAAACATTACATAATTTGAAAATTTTTTTGAATACAAAATTGTTGAAATAGATGTAAATTATGTTAGTTAATTAAATTTGGAAAGGTGAATTACTCAAAGTAACATGAACATTTATTGATCCAAAAAGGGTTAATAGACCCTCACCAAAGTAATTCAAAGGTTTTAGGTTATAGTGAGGAATATGAATTTTTTAATCCTCTCCTATCATTTAATTTGTATGGCAAGTAAGATTTTGTTTTAAGCAATTTAAAAAGTACGTAGAAAATATGTAAAGATGTTTGTGTATAATTTTGCAAATGGTTAGTAGTTGCTACCTCTTTTTCCATAGAATATTTTGAATATAAGATGGTACTTGTGTAATAGATCCTTGAAAATGGGTGAGTTTTCATTCTGTGTAATAACTTAGTTAACTTAAGCTTTGTTTACAAAGTAGGGGATGCAAAGATTGACTGAACATATGTTGGTTTAGCTTCTGTTTCAAATTTGGTGTTTTAAAAATTTAAAAGTTTGCTTTTCTAGTTAACTGTGAGGGTATTGATTTTATTTCAAAATGATAATGTTTTCAATACGTGTGTGATTTTAAAGGTTAAATTATAATGCACCAATAATCTTGATATTAGGTGTGTATGTATGTATTTTGACATACATATACACTATAATTCATAAGAAATAATATTTTTTAAACAAATGCATTTTGGGTGATTTTCTATAAATCTTTTTTTTACATGTATTATACATAGTTGCAACTTGATGGAGATTTGTTGTAAATGCTATATTAAAATACATTCAGTTTATAAGGCTGTTAATATGTGTGTGACATTTATAGGCTATATGTTGTTAATAAACTGTTTTTATTGTTGAAGGTGCAGTTCGTTTTATGAGGAAGATTATTGGTCTTAAGGATGAATTCTACAATCGCTATATCATCAATGGTAATCTTGTTGCCCCTGTTGTTGATGCTTTTAAAAGGAATAATGGCCGTTATAACCTCTTAGACTCTGCTATTCTGGAAATGTTTGAATTCATCAAATCGGTGAGTATTACTTCCCCTTCAGTTTACTAGCTGAATTTTTAATGTAAAACAACATAAGCCATGTTATTTTGTTATCCACCAAGACAGGAAAAAAAAAGAAGAGTTGATAACAGTATTATTTACTGTTCTAAATATATGTATATGATGTTACTTGTATTAGCATGATGAAATTGATTGGACAAGGGAATGTGTGGCAGTTGTTTTTCAGTGTGGTTATATTGGTACAGTTTTACTTTGCCTTAAAATCTGTGAAGAGCAGAATGAATTTGACAGTTTTAGCAGTAGATTTTCTTTTAAGAATAGTATTTTCAAGGTTCTCTAGCTTGTTTGCACAACTTTTTCAGGCTATTTTAGCAACAGAAATTGTTGCAGTATTATTTCATAAAGCAACAGATGAAGATAACTCCGGACTTTTTTAATTGTTTTTCCAGTATTGGTAATGAACTCATTTTCAAAAAGTTTGTTTCTAATATAACAATTGTCATGTTAATATAAAAAAGTCATAGAAACCATTTCAAACACAGTAAGTAATTTATTACTACTGCTTATATTTTCTGCTGCATTCTTTTTGATGTAGGAAATTTATAATATGGATTACAAACGTACTAAAAAAAACTACAAAAGATATAGTATAATAAGTAACAAGAGATGTATTTTTTTCCTGCTGATTTAGTGGCAGCTGTTTCAAATGTTTTGGTGGATAAAATAAACTTGAAATTTTACTGTTTTATATTTAGATTGTGAAATTATATATATTTTCAGGGCTCAACATTAATGGTTGCCTAACTGCCCATGGCAAGTGAAAGCTAAAAGAGCTTGTCTGACTGGGCAAGTGATCTTTGGGTGTTGGTCAGGAGCATAATAAGAGGATAATGTTTGTAGAAATTGTAAATGAAATGATGTAATAAAGTAAATTTTTATACACATATCCTTTTACTCTTGTAAACTTTAATGATTATAAGTCTTGTTTAAATATCTCATTCTTTTCTCAAATTGAAGGCCTACTCAAAATTTAAATCCATGCTGCTTTAAGTTGGCTATTTTTATCCCTTTCAGTCTGATTATACTTACATATTAAAAATGTAATATGATAAGCATCATATATGCTTATGCTATAAAACTACTTAAACTAGATATTTTGATGAAGACTTGTAGTGAAAAGTAACAGATTTTGCTGTATTAGTGTGCAAATGTTTTAATTATGCTCTGTCTAGCAAACATTAGGTAACCTTGTATTTACAACATTAGGTATGACACATTTACAACTGTTTCCATCATCTAGAGCCAAATGATTAGTGGAACCTAAATCATTAACTGATTATATTCACCTTTTGGGTTATTCACTCATGAGACTAATTTTGATATGTGAGTCCAGTGACTCAGTTATTGAAGTAACAGTGTCATCACTTGTGCCAAGTCATTCGTTGTTCCATTTAGAACACACAAATCTTGAGCCCTTGAACTGCAAATGTCATCACCTAATGGTATCGTGCATGATAGACGTCTTGTAATTGACATTGCTTAGAAACAGTTTTAATTCCGTAACATTATGAATTGTAATTTAGGTCAAAATTAGTAAGATGGAATACAACTTCAGAGTTTTTAAGATCATTAAATATTTTACTGCATGTTTTTTGGCTTTCTTCATTTAAATGTTATTGTGTTTTGATTACTGCCTTTTGTAGAAATGTGTTATTCCAGATGCTCTTAACTCTTCCTAGTGCATAAAATGTAAAGTATAACATGTAATAAAGCAGATTGTGTGTCAGTGAATCTTGAAAAGGCTACATGCATACTTATGTTTTATATTGGCATGTAAAGTTTGCTGAACTATTTTGGTCTGTCTGTAGTTCATGAAAATATTTTAGCTTGATTAGATGTAGTTTTACAAGTCCTTACTGAAAAAATTAATGAAGAAGCCAGGCTCTGCAGATGGTCGTGCCTATTCTGCAGCCGACTAAAAAATAATTATTATCTTTCTTCATTTCAAATTTCTGATTATCAGTTTTACTTGGTTTCAAAACATTGAATAAATACTAAGCAAATGTTTTTCAGGGTAATATGTACAGGCTATGATTGTTTTTTCGCAGTAGCTTTATTATTAATACTACACCACTGTAAACATCATGGTTGAGTGTGGCTAGTCAGATGCAAAATATTTGCATAACTAGGTTGCATATTGTTATTGTTTTTTAACTAGTATGAAAATATAAAATAAAATGTCAAAGTTAAGCTTTCCTAAATAAGGAGGAAAATTTGCTGTCCAAGCTTCAGTATTGTTATATAAAATAACATGTCAAAGTTAAGCTTTCCTAAATAAGGAGGAAAATTTGCTGTCCAAGCTTCAGTATTGTTATATAAAATAACATGTCAAAGTTAAGCTTTCCTAAATAAGGAGGAAAATTTGCTGTCCAAGCTTCAGTATTGTTATATAAAATAACATGTCAAAGTTAAGCTTTCCTAAATAAGGAGGAAAATTTGCTGTCCAAGCTTCAGTATTGTTCTGTAACTCGGTTGCCTAATTCGACATTTATTATTTTTTGTCAAGGGTTGAAAATAATTTTATGTGTTGAAGAATTTTATTTATATAGGTAGAATGAACACAACATTTACTGAAAATAGCAAAACAGTATTTTAAGCCATTGTTTCATTTATTTTTATCATTTTAGTAATATTTCTTTCTGTGTGAGAAAATCCTTTTAGTTCTTGCAAAGTAAAAATATCAGAACTGTATGTAAAATAAACTGGTTTTGTTTGAAATAATTGGTTGGTATTTATTTTACCTAAATCATAATCTTCTCATTCATTCATAGTTTCTTTTTTTTTTTTCTATCAGATACATACTTAGGAAGGCTTAACAAAAGTTTTTCCAGGTTTTTGTAGATTTTTCCAAATAGTTCAAACTTGGCAGAGTGTTTGCTTAAAGTTTTGGTGCCATTAGTTGTAATGGGTTATTTTCAAAATAGTTTGCTGCCTGTCGCAGCTAAGCTTTAGTTTTGTTGACATAAAAAGAGGACAAGATTGTAATTGCTTTAATACCTCAATAAAGTTCATTTTAATAATGATATACTAACACATATTAATATATAGCTTTTTGTTTAGCATAAGCAGTAATTTGAAGCAGTTATTAAGATAATTCATTAGATTAGGGGATAAAGTCAGATTCTCTGTAATTTATGCAGCAGAATTTAACTTAGGACATCTGTAATATATCAATTGTGCCCTTGAAATGGCTAAATAAACAAAATATGTATTTTAATGTAGCTGTAGATTCAGTGTTTCTTAACCTGTGGTGCATGCACTTCTTAAAGGTGCAAAATGTCATTTCTGGGGGTGTGAAACATGTTGGTGTTTCCATTACAAATTGATAGTAACCTCTCTATACTTTTCAACTGTACTTATGTGACAGTAGCCATTACCAATTCTCCCAAACTAGTCTTTCAAGCTCCCATGGGAATGAAGCTTCTGTTATAACTGAAATTGACATCTACACAACAGAATATAATATGTCATTAGATGGATGGAAACGTTGACTTTCTATTGGTTATAGATGATATATAATTAAACATGAGAGAACTATTAACAAATCCTGAAAGTCAAGGGGTTTGAGGATATGTTCTATAAATTGATTGGGTGTGGCTTCCAAAAAAAGGTTAAGAACCATTGTTGTAGATAAATAGTTTAAAAGAATGTGTAATGTAATATATGTTTTGCAAATTGCTTTAAATCCTCAGTATTGATAATTTTTTGTTGCTAACCTTTATAAGCTACCGTTAATGTAATGAATAAGTAAATATATGTGAAATCAACTTCTAAAGTTTGCAATTTTCTTCACCAAACATTTTAAAAGTATGGCTTAAGTGTTGGTCACATGCATATTATTTGATGGTGTCATTCCTCCCATTCTGGAAGAGCTCAACCAAAGTAGCTATTTGAGTAGTTAACTATTTCAGTTAAACACCAGGTCTTTAAAATTGTCTTTTAATAGTAGTTTTTTCTCTTCGTGTCTTACTTTAACAGTGTGAGAGATGATTTATTTACCCACAAGAAGTAGTTTTTTTAATCAAGTTTTGATGTGGACCACAAACATTTTACTGTCAACACTTTTACTTCAAGTGCTTCAAATTATGATACAGTGTTAAAATATAGTGTTTTTATAAAACTGTGAGGATTTTGTTTGTCAGTGGCCTGTCTCACCTTGTTCAATAAAGTTGAAGATTATTGTTACTCGTGAGCCTTGTATTTTACATTTTCCATAACATCTTATAAACATATACCTTCAACTCGAGTTGTAAGTTTTCTTATAAAACTATTCTTAGCTTCAATGGCTTATATTTCTAACTTTGAAGACTTAGAAATATAATTATTAGACTTTTATTTGCCAAATAATATATTTAGTTTGTAATTTTGACTTTTTCCCCGGTGTTAAACATCATGATTATAAGAATGTAAAATGAATTCTCAGCATATAATTATTTATTTTTTGCAGGAGGACATGAAATCTTTGGGTACATATGTGGCTGAAATGTTTGGTAAAGCCTTAGAAAAGGTTGACTATGTACAGACGTTCAAATCTTTAAGGTTGCGGTTTGAACAAACACAAGACAAACTGAAAGACAGATCCTCGCTTGAAAGGTAGGTGATAAGTAGTAATTCTAACACTAAGCTGAATTGCATAAACATCCTTGTAATTGAGAATGGAATTCCAAGGGCTTGAAAAGGGACTTTTTTTTTGCAAAAGTACTTGAAAATATTATAATAGCAGAATATATCAATATATGTAACTTTAATGTACCTTTTTTTTTTTAGTGTCCATTCATATGTGGAACAAATAAATAGGAATTTTATAAAATTTCAGTGGAATCTGATTAATTTTGATGTAGATTTTAGATTCCAAAAAGTGCTTGAAAAACATTCTGAGAGTGTTTAAAAAGTGCTTGAAATTGATATGAGTAATTCAGTATGAATCATGAGATATGACTGTTAATAATTGGCTCAACATGTATCTGAAAATTTGAATATATAATTATTGTCCATCATATACCTTGTATGTATATGTGCATGGGTACATGTGTGCACACACACAGTTGTACACATAAATTGCTTGTGTTACTTGTATAGAATAAATAACTCACTAGCTCACAAACTTTAAGTTAAATTATACATTATGAACTTCTATAAAATTTCTGCAGTATTATCATCATGATTTCAGTATGCAGTTTATTACCATTCTACCACTGTTGCAAGGGGTTTATTGTGTCAGTAGCAGCAAGTGTACAGTTAATAAAGGTTTCTTTATTATTATTATTATATTCATTTTCTCTCTGGAAAAATGTATGTGTACCATAGATTCATAAAATCCTTATAATTTTATTTAGAAAGTTATTGAACCCACCCAGAGTTGGTGCACTTATTTGAAAGTGTCTTCTTTTTATATATATATATATATTCTAAATCAAGGCTTTGAACACCTTTAAAAATATACATTTTACTCTTAAGGTTTTGGAATATGTCCTTGAAAATGGTAACTAGTAAAAATGGACAACTGACCATAACCTGCTTCAAAACAATCTTGAGGTGTGAAACCTTGTACGGTGTTTTGTAGTGATTAAGAAAAAAATAAATACTGGATTTTATTTTTTCAAAAAGGCTTGGGTATACTAAGAATAACTAAAATTATGAAAGATTGTATGTTTTCTTTGATTAATCTGTCAAGTTTTAACTTGTTGATTCACATAAAAGTTATAGGATTGATCCTTTGCTTAGTTGTAAGAGTTTCTCAATCATACCGAAGTGATGAAAATTGCTCTTTAGCTTAACTCTGGGACCGACCTAGTAATCATTTTGTGCTTGTTATAGTTTTTATGTTACAACTTTTAAATTAGTAAGCGTATCTTCATGAAAGTTTGCAAATTATCAGTAAACATTACAGGGCTTTCATACACAAAATACCATATTTTTTTAAGTTTTAAGATTTTTTAAGTAACGTTTTTCTTGTACCTTTTTTCGTTTTGCATGTTGACTATCCAACATGCGAAATAATTATGATTTTAAGATTAAAAATACTTTTATGCATCAGAAAATTTTCAAATTTCACATGCAAAATCTTTATAACGTTCATGTAATTATCAAACATTTCTTAAGAAAAAACTTTATATTTTATCCGTTATTTTCACTAACAAATCTCTGTATGGGTTTGGTAGATTTGACCAATCTCGTAACCACTATAAAAAATTAGGAAATAAATATAAACTACGCTTTTTTCGTTCTAGAATGACTACAAATTATAACATGAAAACACAAATGTTTAGCCTAAGTAGCTTAAATCTCGTAACACTACACATTTATATATATATTCATTATTTTTATTATATTGACCTTCCAGCCATGCCTGGCTAACATTACAGAAGTTGAAATAATGTGGCACACGTGCACTCATGTTATCATATCCAAGAATATATAACTGGCCTTTACAAAGTTACCTGTCTTGGCTGTGTTTTAGTGGACTAGTATTTTGTAAAATACAGTCACATTTCAGTTATAATACATTATATATGTATATACATTATTACTATTTACAGATAAGTTCTTAAACTTATTTTTCTTAAAACATAGAATGGTAAATAAAGAAGTATAGCAGACAAATATCTCTTCTAGTTAAGAACTTTATACTCGTTTGTTGCTAAGCCTTATCAAATTTTGTACATGGAGGTTGTGAAATGAAATAATTTTTTTAGGTTTTATATATACATCTGAAATAACCCAAAAATCACGAATTACTGTATCAATACCATAGAATTCCACTATAATT